GGCTAGACAAGACAATTTTTTTTAAGAGGGCCCTTACATACCGATGCAGAATCAAATAACTATACTAGATCATTACACACAAGTGAGGCAGCAAAAGCCTGACATCTACAGATTCACTTCTCACTTTGACCTATTATAGCCTCACCACTTCTACCCCTAGGAGAAGTAAAATTGTCACATGCACATGCATGTTGTTATTCATTCCTTCTATGGTACATATGGATAGAATAGATTTTTAAAGGGTCAGTGAAAATGTCCAACTTTTATTGAACCTTTTAATGCACCCTCTTCCCCCACAACACATGCATGCACAGACTTAAGTGATGGTTGAGAATGAGATTTTATCGAATTGGATTCATCATTGTTCTATATTTTTGTAATCTAAATCCGTTATTTAATGTAAAAACTGTTACTTAAATGGGAAAACTATTATTCAAAAGTATATATTTAAAAATGCAAAAACGTTTCTTACCCTTCATTTCTTTTATATTAATATATCAAATACTGAACTTTATAAAAACATTCAACAATTCTTTATTTACTCAACTCTCATGCCTAAAGGATGGTGACCGGGAGTGAAACTGGAAGCAAACACATCATGAACTTGCCCCCGCCAGAAGACAGTGGGAAATTTAAATGCCGTAAACAATTTAAGTTTTATACGAAACAAAACAAAGTGCTTTGAATTGAAACAATGGAAATTGTGGAAAAAGAAACCCAAGGAAGGAAACTATGGAAAACAATAAAATTTCAGACCCAAATATCTTTTTTCTGTTTCCCAAACAACGACAGTCGGTAAGATGACAAAATTATAAATTATAAACGCAAAGTAGACAGCTGGATAACATCATTGATTTTTAACATCTTTATTTGGAAAAATACCATCAAGACTAAACGTATCACTTGGTCATAACTATAAATACTTATTTTTTCATGTTTCTTTTGTTGTCTATCACTCTATAGCCGGTTTCTTAGTATGCTTTTGTATGTCAATGCTGCACCACAGAGTAGGTATTATAGTCTCTACTCTGTGGCTGCATCCTATATTTCCATACAAACAAATAACAGTATTTTACATATAGTCAGGTCTCTTAAGGTCACGATGTTTACAGAGCTGACAAAAGCACCAAACTTGGCTCAGTTATAGCTTATGATAGTACTATCAATATTGGAAGGGGTGCCCAATGCAAATATTCCTCATAAACGACTTAAAGGGGATTAAACTTTTGAAAATATCTCGTCTTGGGCTCCCTGTGGTGCTTTTTATATAAAGTGCATTTTATGCCGAAAATCAATCTTACATGTCGTTTTAATGGTGTAAGTAAACTATTTAGTCTGATATCTTTATTTCTGTTTGTTAAAACCTTTCCAAATGAGAAAAAAGGCTATATTTAGAAATTGCTATAAACAACTAGTACCAGTCCCACTCACCAATTTGTCATTTCCAAGATGGCGGCTCGATGCATCTTTACGAAAACTGTAAGTATTCAGCTTTTGATATGCAATTATAACAGGTTTTCTTTTTTACAAATTTCTCTAGATAAATCGTTTTATGTTAAAGGATGTTTCTAAAGTGTGTTTGCAATTAGTTTTATTTTTTATCTAAAAAGCCTGATTGTGTGCTATCAACAATTGTTAAAAATTTCAGAGATGATGGCATTTTCTTGGAGTCATTGCATCATCTGCCAGAAAGATACATCAGAAGAGCTAAGATGTCCATTAAGATCACATGGAGCAGATAAGAGCGATCCCAGAAGCGTGTATAACTCGTTTCTACAAAATGTTTCTGAGTTCCGTGATTCACTGGATGTAATATTGCCTGTTAGCCTTACTCTGCCACTCGAGTTAAATGTTGATGCCTTGATCGAAAAAGAAGCTGCGTGGCACAAGTCTTGCCATTTACAATTCAGTAAATCTAAACTAAATAAAGCAAAGGAAAGAGCAGCTCGAAAAAGGAAGCAAGATCAAGCAAAGCCAGAGCAGGAGAAACCAACCAAAACGCGTATACTGTCCTCAGGCATAAAGAAGAACTGCAAAGAGAACTGCATATTGTGTGACCAAACTTGTACTGGCCCGCTTCATAATGTCACTACTTTCGCTACTGATGAAATTCTTCGCCGAATGATAACAGAACTACAAGACAACACGCTGTTACCTAAGATTTCTGGGGTTGACCTTATTGCAGCTGAAGCAAAATATCACATGAAATGCATGACAAACCTGCGCAACCGCTATAGAAGTCACTTAACACGAGCACGACAAGAATCATGTGAAGAAGATGAGAAAATGAAGGAATCTCAAGCCTTTATCGAGTTAAACGCATATATCGAGAGTTCTGTTGAGAATGAGAAGTTATTTTTTTTGCTTTCTGAGTTGCATTCACTTTATGTAAGTCGGCTTCAAACCCTAGGCGTTCAAAAACAAGTGAATAGAACTAGACTTAAAACCTCGATACTGGAAAACTTCCCAGACGCTCAAGAGCAAAATGATGGAAAGAATGTTGTTATAATTTTCAAGAAAGCCATACAGGGCATTGTGAAAGAGGTGGTACAGCAGAGAGACTTCTCAGAGGACGCTGTGATTCTAGCTAAGGCTTCAGCAATTGTTCGAAAAGACATTTTTAGTCATGAAGGGTTTAAATTTTCTGGAAGTTTTCCGCAAGACTGCCAAGCGAGATCTGTACCAGCTAGCCTTAAGTCATTAATGTCAATGATTTTAAGTGGGGTGAACATTAAGAACACCGAGGCGCAAGAATCCCAGCCATGCTTAACAGTGTGTCAAACCATAATTTTTAATACAAACGCCAAGGAACGTTCAACTGTTCAGTCAAAAACTGGCCAGTCACGGCATACTAAATCACGCGAACCACCTCTTCCATTATACCTCGGATTTAATGTCCATGCAATGACCAGAAGTAAGACACTAATTGCAAAGTTGTACCAGATGGGACTTTCGGTATCATATCTAAGGATCATGGAATTAGAGGACATGTTTGCTACTTCCATCAGTGAGCGCTTTGAAGCGGACGGTTTTGTGGTACCTGCTTGTCTAAAAAAGGGTGTGTTTACCGTTGGAGCCCTTGATAATTCAGATCATAACCCTAGCTCTATGACGGCAGCCTCGTCGTTCCATGGAACAGGCATTAGTCTTTTTCAGTTACCAACAATTAGTAATCCTGGCGAAGAGAGGCCTCCAGTAGCGTTACCGCCACAGGGAACCGGGCATGCTCTCCCAGAGGAATACGCAACTGTTTACCCCGTAGAGTTGAACACTAGCAAGGCAGTTGTACCAACGCGTGATATGAAAGAAATAGTTAGTTGCATGGCTGAAGCGAAACGTAATGAGGAACAGTGGGTGGTGCATTCTCTCGAAAAACTTGACGAAGAATCAGTAACCTCAGGAGATACGTTGGCTTGGGCAGCATTTCATGCTTCGGCCCAGACGGAAGAAGATCCACCTGCTTTGACTGCACTACTCCCTTTGTTCTACGAAAAGGCGGCGACCCCAGCGATGGTCAAGCACGGCATGGATGTCATATGGCAGGCAGTTACCTTTCTAAATCCGGGCCAGGTTCCTATCATCACCGTTGACCAGCCCTGTTTGCGCTTGCGAAGATGGTCCAGTGGAAGTGGCCAGACTCACATGGAGAGCAGCGTATGTAGTTATGCTTGGTGGCCTGCATATCGAGATGGCTCTATGGAGTGTGCTTGGCGATTTGCTTGACGGATCTGGCTGGACTGTCGCCTTGACTGAAGCTGATGTGGCCTCTTCTGGTGTAGCTGATTCCTTCTTGAAGGCGTCGCATCTAACAAGAACTAGGTAGGTTGATGTGCTAAACATATTAGATGACCATACAACTATTCACAACCATACAGGTACTATTTCGCCGCCGCTGGCGAAAAATTTCGCCACCGAAAAAGTTTATTTGTTGTTCTTTCGCGCCGTCAACGAAAGGTCAAAGAGAAGTTGAAAATTTTAAGCAAATGTAGCAGGAGAACAAATTTCTTCAGCGGCGAATGAATGTAAAAAATTATTTCTTTGTCAAAATTTTTCGCCAGCGGCGGCGAAATACGTGAGTGGAAAACGGGCTTAAGGATGCTTGCGCTATACTATTCCGTAGCAACCTCGTCCCCAGAGCCATGGGAGGCACCTCCAAAATTTCGCGAGGATGGCCCTGGGGACGAGGTTGATTCCATATCGATGAGCGCAATTTATCCTTTCTGAGTGCATTTTATCTCCAGTAGAATGTTCTTTGTCTTGTGGCAATGAAGTAGGCGTACAGGTTATAATGTGACTGGGGGGTTACTTAATTAAGAAAAAGTGCGATATATTTTCAGGCATGCTCATCAAGTCACTGCTCTCGTCCTACATAAGCTTCAGAGAGATGCATTTTCCCAGTGCGTTGACGAGGCATCGTTCTCTACGTGGGAAGAGGCAAGAAAGCGAATAAGCCCGACGTTTCTCTTCTGGGATGTCATTCTACAGTTAGAGACACTGGTGTTGCTTGTAATACGTGCACATAGGCAACGAAACTTCAATTTGTACGTCGAGGCCATGGAAGAGCTGGTACCTTTATTCTTTGCACTGGACCACGTCAATTACGCACGCTGGGCCTCCATCCATATTCGTGACCTGAAGTCTCTACCGGACAACATCGCTAAGGAATTTCAGAACGAAGGCCACTGGGTATTGTCAAAAACAGGCAACAGGTTTTCTGCTATTCCCAGGCGCATGAACAGGAGAACAAAATCGTCAAGAGTGCAGGTGGTGCAGTAGGCCTAACGGAGAACCCTGTAGCATTTAGGTGAGCACAAAAATCTATTCTTTGCTTATGCTTCGTTATCAGCACAATGTGCCAATTGAAAATTGTTAATTAAGTTGTTCTGTTTCGTTATTTTATTTATGTATTTATTAGTTTCGCCATATTACAATACACAAAACTATAACAAGAACAAGAATAATATACATGACTATAGGCAGGGTGACCGCAACAGCGTGAGCCAATTACTGCGGGCCCGAAATTATTGTTATCGCGTTACAAATTACATGTTCTATTTTTTTTTTTGATTGATTATTTTATATATTTACAATCATAAAATAGGCTGGTTATAAACAAAATGGTGTATTAGTTAACACTCAATCAAACTGGTAAAACGGCAAATCAGAGCACATTGTTTGGCAGAAAATAACTATTCATAGGGATGAAAATACTGAATTTCGATATATTCTTTTTTTTTCAGACGTTGGATGCTTTCAGGCCCTGAGACAACGAGACTTTTGCATCAATTTGAGGAGCAATATCTAGGACCTGATAGCGAGGAGTTTCAGGATCGTCTAAATCATGAGATGGGACTAAGCGCGCAGAAGACGTTCAAGAAGCAGGTGAACAATCTGGTTGATGTAATAAGGACGATGGGGAACCCCTTTCTTGACGACTTCCCAGAGCTAGTTACACTGGACAGCCGGGATTGTATGGATGATGCTGTAGCCGAGGCAGTAGTTAACCTTGAGCAGCTTGGAAAGAAGCAGTACCAGGATTTTGTGAAGGCAGTTATAAAGGACAGAACGATTTCAATAACCAATCCCATCAAGAAGAACAAGCTTCCCCTTTATGGCAAACGGCCGTCACGCGCCAAATTTAAAGAGTCGAAGACAATCACAGCACTGCAGAATAACGTCGCCTTTTTCGCGCAATTGTATATAGCAATGCAGAGTCGCGACGCTGACCTCGAGGAATTCTTCAGCCACGAAGTACAGGCATTCCCTCCCTCGTTATCAGAATTTGGCAACCTCCGTCTTCCGAATGCGAAGTCCGAACTGATGAAGTGATCGCCCAGCCGCAACAGCCCGAGCCTCCACCCCAGTTTGATTGCCGAATATGCGATGGAGCTGTTATAGTCCATTGTCTTCCGGTTACAGGAGCAATCACCTTCGACGACTACGCCGACAACGTTTTCATACCATATCTCCGCTGTCAGGACAGCAGACGAGTGGACGTTGTTTGGGATTCCTATGTCCCTGACAGCCTGAGAGAATCAACTAGAGAAAAGAGAGGGAAAGGCGTGCGACGCAAAGTTGCAGGTAGCACAAAGCTTCCGCCGAAGTGGATTCAATTCCTGCGTGATTCAGCAAATAAGCAAGAACTGTTCGCAATTCTTACATCGAAGGTTGCTGCGTACACCTGGCCAGAGACGAAGACGGTGTACATGACTTCAGGTTTGTATTGGTAATGCTCACATAATTAGTAGTATCATGCCAACCATAATGTATAGTTCATTTTTAGGGGTTTCTGTGAACTCCACAGACTCAAACAGATCGATGCCTGAGTGTAACCACGAAGAGGCAGACACACGGATCGTCGTCCACGTTCTCCATGCCATTCAAGTCGAGCAAGCAAAGTATGTATTGGTCAGAACCGTTGATACAGACGTCGTCGTCATCCTAGTAGGAACGTTCTACAATCTTAAATCAATCGTTCCAGACTTAGACCTGTGGGTGGCTTTTGGAACGGGACGCCACTTCTCGTACATCAACATTAACACCATCTGTGTCAGCCTGGGTGAAGCAAGGTCTAGATCACTACCAGTTTTCCATGCGCTTACTGATTGTGATACCACGTCATCCTTTTATGGGAAAGGCAAGAAGTCCGCCTGGCAGGCATGGGAGCTGTATCCAGATGTTACCTCGACTTTCGAGTTTCTGGCAAAGAACGCTTACCATCAGCTAACGGCAGACTCTGCCCATTTCAAGAGAATTGAACGATATGTTGTCGTCCTGTTTGACAAGTCGAGCCCACTGGATTCCATAAACAGGACGAGGATGGAGCTGTTTTGTAAGAACAACAGAGCAATGGACAAGCTTCCGCCAACACAGGTAACTATGACAGCTTGCATGCTAAGAGTTTTTCTTTACTGTATTGCTATTCATGATGCTTCATTCAACGATTACATTTTCTTTCAATCACAAGGATGCTCTCCTACAACATGTTCATCGTTCAATTTTCCAAGCGGGAATATGGTCGACCAGTGAGCACTCACAACAGGCAGTACCATCTCCAGACAGGTTTTCTTGGAAGAAAGAGGGAGGATCATGGGTACCGAAATGGATAACTATACCCGAGGTCTCGAAGGCTTGCAGCAAACTAACAAAGTGTACCTGCAAAGGTTCATGCACAAGATGCAAGTGCGCTAAGGCGTATTTGGCGTGCACTCCGCTTTGCAGATGTAAATGTGTAAACAGTGCAAGTGATCCGTGAACAGCCGTACTGTCTAACCTTTTTTAGCACTAAAAAAGTGAATGCGCCTGCAATGTGAAGCGAATTAGGATCGGGAACTATATCAAAATGCAAACTAACGTGAAGATCTTATTTGCCAACATTGACGCTGAATAACGCTGAAAACTGAAATAATTTTCTGAGTGGAGACTGGGCACTAGTCAGTATATTTGTATAATTTATGTCAAAGCGGCGTAATTATTAATAAGCATGACCTATCCAGCCTCAAAACTCTGTTATTTATTTGTTCTTTGCTGAATTTAGACAAAAGATATAGCAACCGCAGGTAACCCACTTCGTGATTTTAGGTAAAACTTCATTAGCCCATTAATCCTTAACAAGTACGATTCGCGATGGGCACCCCTTCTAATATTAATTTGTATATGCTAAGGAAGCTAAGTGCCAAATTTGGCACTTTTGTCACTCCTGTAAACATCGGGCCACTATTTTGCACTAAGAGACCTGGCTATTTTTGGCATTTTGATCGAACGCCCGCTTTATCTTTATTTGCGCAAATTCTAGTAGCTATTGCGCGAATTTCAATACATGTACTTTAATATGGTCAAACCTTGATATAACCTTGCCCTTGTTTATATTGTATTGTGAACTAAATGTTATTGTATTAGGCAAATGAGAACCATACAATAAATCAAAATAAACTGTCGAACCTTTAACTTGTCCTTGCTTATACTCCACTATATTGTACAAATTCGCGTCGGGTCCAAAATTTGGGGTTTTCGAGTCGTTTAATACAACATATTGATTGTATAAATCCGCCGGGTCGGCCAAATTTTGGAAGCCAAATTTTAGAGTCATTTAATACAAAAAGAAAATCATTAATTCAACATGCAAGAAAGTCCAGAGTGCGACAAAAAATGAACACAACTACACCACGGATGTTTATGACTCTACAACTTATATTTATAGACAGTTGTTTATTAGTTAAAGACTCAAACTGTCGAACCTTTAACTTGTCCTTTGTAAAATTCGCTGGGTCCAAATTTTGGGGTTTTCGAGTCGTTACATGAAGAAAAACATATTAATTCAACACGCAAGAAAGTTCAGAGTGCGACACAACGTAAAATCCATAGGAAACCGGCACAACTCTTTGAAAATTCAACGAAACTGTGTGAAATATATTCTGAATAATTTCTGATCACTCAGCCAAAAGGCGCCATTTTGAAACTGGACTGAATATGTACATGTCACCATTGGAGTTCGGAATTGTGCGCGTGCGTATAAGTCCATATAAGTCTATATATGGGCTAATAAACGAAAAATGCACCACAAGCATGACATGAGCCGACTAATACGTACATAAATACAAGCTTCTTACTATTATACATGAATCGTGGAGTCGAAGAATCGATGGCATTTTGGATTAATCGTTGCACCCTGAGCCTGCGATGCGCGAACGCAAACTCGATTTCTCGACGACGAAAAAACCCAGAAGAAAACAGAAAACTAGGGATTTAAGACACTTGACCTTTCAGGTCAGTGTAACAAGACGCTCCACGGAGATTTAAGTCACCGGGGCGATGGAAATATGCAACTTTAAGTACAAGTGATAGCACTAATTAAAGAAGAGCGTGTTGTTTTTCCGAAAATATTAATTCTTGAAGTTTGCAGTTTGCCTGGTAGTTAGCGCTAATAGTTAAAACAAATACATCCATGTAGCAATGTTGTTTTAATAGACATATAATATACTGTATACAGTATAGTGTATGGTATGTGTTATTAAAAAATTATAAGCGTTTATCCTGTTGTCATTACACAGATCGGCTGGTGTTATGTTATCAACTGTCCAAATTAAAACCGAACTTTAATAGCTAGCTAGTCAGTGCATCGAAGGCTGGAAGGCAAGAATATTCTTTGCCTCGAAACTAGACGCATTATAACGTATGTGTCTAATAGGTTACAATAATGCCTCGCGAGAGGAGAGGTATTTCGCATGATTACTAAGCGACTAGCTAATGACCTGTGTCTACAACCATGCATGTATAGCAATAACGCTTTTAGGGGCGGACCACTAGATATTTGAGGGGGTGGTTACAGCTTTTTTCCTTGCAAGATTTTTTTTTGACGTAGTCAAACGCTTGCAAGAATTTTTTTATTTGTAGTTTTTAATAGGGGCAGGTTACAATATCTTTGAAAGAAAATTTGATTCCCGAGCCGGCGGCGCGAAGCGCCGTGCGCGGGTACTATTGGTATTGATTGTAGTTTTGGTATTGATTGAAGAATACCAAAATGCCAGTTACAAGACAAACGACATATCAACCCGATGAATTTCGAGCAGACATAAAGGAAGCTATACAAAGTGAGTTGCACCAATTCTTTAAATCATCTGACTTTAAGACGATCCTATCTGAAGCAGTAAATACACTCATCGAGCAATCCGTTCAACAAGCTACATTTCCTCTTATAAAGCGAATCAAAGCGCTGGAAACAGAGTTAACAAAGGTCACAATAAAAGCGAATGAAAATGAGCAATACTCCAGAAAATATAACTTAAGAATTATAGGGTTGGTCGAAACCGATGGTGAAGATTGCGTTCAAAAGGTAGTTCAGTTTGTAGATGAAAAGCTGCATCTCAATATCGTTAAAGAAGAAATTGACCGCGCACATCGCCTTGGCCCAAAGATCTCAAATCGGTCAAGACCGCTAATTGTAAAATTCAAATCATATGGTACAAAGGCTGCAATTTGTAAACGACGAAAAGATCTGAAAGGCACACAGTTTTATATAAATGAAGACCTGACCAAGTACACGTTAATCTGTTCAAATACGCTCGCGAACATAATACTCATATTAAATCTGTCTGGACGACGGACGGTAAAATATTAGTTCGTAATAAAGACGACAAAATAATTCGAATTCATCACATGGATGATTTTGAAAAACTTAATTTGGTCTAATTAATCCTATATTAAATGGTTATTTCAATACGAGGACTGGCTTGTAAACTAGCAGTTATTATGACCGCACCTATAGTCCTATACTAATATGTTTATAATAGGCCTACTTGACTTTAACACTCTATTAACTTTATTTATTTTTGTTCTGGAAGAACGTCGTTTAGGTTCTTCTTGTGTGGTTCTCGCGTGTAATATTATTACTATAAGTGGTTTTCGAGCAGCTGTGTAGACTGGTAAGTTTTATACTATGCCTAATGGAGGTTAGTATTGTTGTTTACAGAGCAGCTATCGGTATGTTTAATAACAGAAAATGCCGTCTTAATATAAAATCCAGTGTGTTGCAAATTCGGACGAGACACAGATGGGGTCTATGCATTTTGTTAATAATCTTTTTATCAATTTTGTTAATAATAGCAGGAGATATTGAATTAAATCCTGGCCCAAAAATGTCATGCTTAACAATTGGACATATAAACGCTAGAAGTTTAGCTAACGAAGAGAAATTTGAAGAAATTTCCTCATTTATTTTAGACAACAGCTTTGATCTATTCGCGGTATCTGAAACTTGGCTTGACAATAAAAGTTCTGATGAATCTTTATACATTCCAGGCTATTATTCTATCATTAGAAAAGACAGGTCTGGTATGCGTGGTGGCGGTGTTGCTTTATACGTAGCACAATCACTTGCATTCAAAAGACGTAATGACCTGGAAAATATGGATTTAGAACTACTTTGGGTTGAAATTAAAATGAATGGAGTAACCCTGTTATGTGGCGTATGTTACAGACCACCTAATAACTCTCTAGAAGAAACAACACTTTTTTTAGATTCTTTCCAGAGTGTTATTGATAAAATTCGATTAAACCAACATTTACCTATGGTGATTGTGGGTGATCTAAATGCCCACTATGACCGAAATAAGTTACTAAGTACCGCGTTTGGTAACCGTTTTTATCATTGGCTCGAGTGCAATGCCCTGTCCCAAATAATCGATGACCCAACTCGTGTGACATACAACACAGCTACAATATTAGACGTCATAATCACTAATTGTCCTAAATATTTTGTAAACCAGGGAACATTTAGTCCACCCACGAACTGCGATCATTCCTACATTTATGCAAAAATGAGTATTACATATTCTAAACAAAGAGCTTTTAAAAGACACATATGGTATATCTCCAATATTAATATGACAATGCTAAATGAAGATCAATTGGGAAGATTGTACTAGATATTCTATTTTTCGATTTCGGTATTTTCGACTTATAATTGATAAATACATTCCAAACAAAACAGTTGTAATACGACCTCGAGACAAACCTTGGATGATATCAGCGGTACGAACTGCGTGCCATTCGAAAAAGAAATAGATTATTAAAACAATTTAGGTTCCTTACCTGAGAACATCAGGAATTGTACTAATTACAAAGTATTTTTAAAATTAACTAAAGAACTTTTATTCGAAAGAGCACGCCAAAACTAGTTTTTAATCCGAACATCGATTTTATCTAATTTCAACACATAAACGTTATAGTTCATAGTTATAGAATATAGTATTTAATTAGTATTTTAACAGGGAAGAGCCATATGTATGGATCTGTTGAATAAATCGTTATTATTATTATTATTATTATTATTATTAGTAAAAGGAAAACTGACTTGCTTTCGCGCCGTTACAAAAATCAGAGAAATTATACAACGTGGTTAATTCGTGAAGCTAAATCCTCGTATTATTGTAAACTAAATAATAAACTATCAGATCCTTCCTTAGGTCCAAAAAAGTGGTGGAATTACATTAAATTCACTCTTAATAATAACAATAATCATACCTCCATACCACCTATTAAAGAGAGCGGTGAGATTGTTTTTGACTCGAAAGAAAAAGCGGACTTATTCAATGACTACTTTGTTAATCAATCTAGAATTAACGATAGTAATTGTCAGTCTGATAAAACATTATCAATAATTCATACAAAATTTTGATAAAAAATTCATTTACAAATTTACTTAATTTAAGCTTTCAAAATGGCGAATATCCCGCTGAATGGAAAAGAGCCAACGTA